AGTTCACGAAAATCAGAGCTAAAACGCGAAAGTTTTGATTTAAACAAGATTTCCTATAGCAAATTAATTAAGTAAACCTAACCATGAAATTTAAAAGTTGCACACATGGTTAACAGTGGTACTGACACGTAGATTATGAAATTACAAAACTAACGCAATTTGAATGGGTCGATTCGGAGCTAAAACGAAGTTTTTATGAGCAAAACAAATCCAGTGGCATTTCTGTAATTAGTATGAACTTTTTTCGGATTTAAATCAAATCTGTGATTTTTAAATCGGCCGAGGACTGCAGTTTCAAAATCACAAAACCTAGGGGTCTCTTTAGCAAAAGGACCCACGAAGGGGTATCGGCCTTCGGTGACCGTTGATCAAGTGATGGACGGTTTGGATTAGAGAGGGGGAGAGAGAGAAGGAAACACCGACCAGGAACAGTGGCGGCCGCGGCGGCGCAGCCATTGCCGGTGATGAGGACTCACCGGTGCGCGCAGATCACAGCCTACAGGCCACGGTTCGACGAACCAAAGGCACCGAGGAAGAGAGGGGGTGCACGCGACCTCGACCAGGCCGAGAACGGGGCCGGAGGTCACAGCCGAAGCGGTGGTGGCCATGGCCGACGGCGAGAGCTCCATGGCGCACGCGGCTAGGGCTCTAGAGTCCATGAAACTCGAAATTGAAGGCATGGGGAGAACGAGGGGAGCAAGGGGGTCTCACCGCGGGGAAAACGGAGGCGGTAGCGGCTCGGGGACGGCGGACCACGCGGAGGGGCGGACGGCAGACCTCGGCGTCCTTCGGTGCGGCGGTTGTGGCTTCCGTGCGCTCGGCGAATGCGAAAACGGAGCGGGGGAGGCAGCAGGGAGGCGGCAACGGGGTCAGGACCGCCTTTTGTAGAGGCCGGGGCGCGGGGAGACGCTCCCACGACTCGAAGTGGGCACGGGCGACGGTTGCAGCCTTGACCGCGCGATGCGGGAGGTTGGGGACGACGCTGATGTGCGGGCCCAGGCGGTCAGTGGCTGAGGCGCGGGGCGGCGGTTGAGGAGGCAGCGCGGCTTGGTAGTTGCCCGAGTTGGGCCGGCCCAAGAGGAAAACAGGAGGAGGGGAAAGGAGGGAGGCGCGCGGGCCGGCTGGAGAAATGGGCCAGCAGGCCAAAATTGAAGAAGGGAAGGGGAGGGAAAAGAAAACCTTTTTCTTTTTATTTTCTAGAGTTTTAGCAAACCCTTTTCAAGTTGAATTTGAATTCAATTCAAATTTGGTCAAAACCAATCATTACAAAAATAAAGGTGCAGTAGCATGTATGCATCAAGAGGTTACTAACCTTATATTTGATTTTAATTTCACAAAATTTATTATTTTCCTACATTTGAATGCTCACATATTTGCACAAGTAAATCAAATTTAACTATTTTGAAAGAATGCAAATTTTAGGGTGTTACAACCACACGAGAGAAAAACAACATACTAAAAGAGAGCTCGTCACTACGGTCACAAGATCACAAGAAACGCCGAGAACGGAACTACCGTTGAAAGAAACGACTACCGGGATATTTATATTATAAAAGTAAAGAAAAGCCTACATACCTGATTTGTTTTAATTTAGCAAAACCATATGAAGCATGTTAATTCAGATTACATAAATTCACATTTTATTTTATAAGCCGGATTAAACTAATGAGATTTTAATTATGAACATGCATATATTATTTAATCCATTTAAACTTTATAACAGTATAAAAGAGAAAACATGTGATCATCTTTGTATATGAAACAAGTTTAAACTAACCAAGTTATAATAATTAGAAACATACAAGTTATCATGAATCAAATTAGTGTTTATTTGCGAAATATCAATGTTTACTGTGTTGCTTTTAATTATAAAACTAGCTGCATACATATTAACCAAATTAACATTTAATCATAAACGTAATATGTATAATGATAAATGTCGAAAACTAACACGTAGATTATATTGACAAGAGCGTAACATACAAATTCTGAGCTAAAACGAACAAACGATGATGGATTGTTTTTGACAGAATTAGCTTTAGATATCGGGTTATCAAGGAGAGCAGAGGATTTGAAGAAAAGTATAACGTACTGTGCTTGGACATATCAGTTGTTCCTTTGGCCGGTCACGTGCTTGCAGGGAAGTACTATTTGCTTAGCTGACAGCCGGTTTGGCCTCTGATTGCTGCTGGTGATGGCAAACAGGACAGCTTGCAGAACAGGCAGGATGCAGCTGCTTGCTTTGCTTGAACATGGCTGAAGATGAACGAACAGGCACAGATGACAGCATGCTCGTCTCAGACGATGAGAAGAGCCAGCGGTGAGAGCTTTGCTTGGTCGTGCCCCTCCGTCAGCGGTCCCGTGGCAGCCGGCAGGGACTTTGTATGTTCTGCACGTCTTCACGATCTTCATGGCCTGGTCCGCTGGCCACCAATGGGCAGCGTCGGGCACAACAGCTCCAGTTGATGAACTTGTAGATGACGCCAGACAAACAATTGAGAGGATGAGCAGCTTTATACCATGGTTCGAGGCTCGCGGCAGTAGTCAGCTGCAGACGGCGTTGACAGATTCATCACCTTGATTCGAACCTCGGCAGCGGTGTAGCGAACGGCGGTGAAGCAGCTGGTGGTGCCAGCGGCGGCAGCGGCGTGTCTTCATGGACAAAGAGCTCCAGCGATGAGTAGAAGAACGATGACGTACATCTCGACGGGGCGGCAACGGACAGCACGGCGGCGGCGGCGACGAGAGAAGGAGGAGAAAAATCAAATTTACTACACGAGTGATTTCCCAAATTAGGGGCTCCCCTTATGGTAGTTTTGGTGTGCTTTGCCCAAGGGGTTGGTATAGATTTATAGAAAGAAAAACTCCCCACATCTACATTAACTAGCAATATGGTACTAATTGATGTTGCACCCTCCACATTTACTAATGGGCCTAAATAAACACTAAAGCCCATTAGTAAATAAAGACGTGTCTTTAGGATTTATTAGGATTATTACACATAAGCTTTGAGCATTGGAAAATATGAGAGATTTATTAATTTTAGAATTAATTAATTTCGTGGATAAAATAATTCTAGAAAAGTCTAGAATTATTATTTAAGCCGCGAAAAATACTCCGAGACCTCCGAAAATTTGGGGAAAGTTCTCAGAGACACTTTGGAACATGATGAACCCAAATAAAGTATTTGGAGCTCATAAAAAGATTGTTGGGAACTTGGAACATAAAAATTAAGGTAAAGGAGGTAGGAATTAAGTTCTAGGAAGAAGCTGAAAAATTCCTAAAGATAGATATTCCTCTCCTACACGTATAAAAACACACATTTTGCATATAGAAACACGAGGTGCGACCGGCATGAATGCAGCAAACACGTTTCTACCTTATGATAAATTTTAAATTAATGAAAATTTTTATTTTTCTATATTTTCATGTGCACCAAAAATTCACAAATAAATCATTTTAACTCTATTTTCAAAAGTGACAAATTTTGGGGTGTTACACACACATAGCACATCAGCCATGCACATGCTTCTAGAAGGCACAGTAGGTCCTCATTGCCATCTTGCTGAATGCAAAGCAATGTGACTAGTAAAGCAATCGACATCCTAAACAGTTGTAACAATATTTTCATTCCAGTGAAATATGGATAAATTGTCTAGGAAACTAACAAGATTCATGCACCACCTTGTAAGCAGTATCAGGTGCTCCATGGTGGGGAGGTTTTGCTTGGAAGAACTCATCAATTCAATCAGGGCATGTTCTTCATCAATTCAGTCAGGGCCTATTCTCACCAAAAGCCACAACTGAGCTACCACGAAGGACTCACCAAAAAGTCTCAACCAAGAACCCACCAATAATTTAGCAAAAAACTGTTACCAAGAGCCTTGAACCTCCATGAAGAACTGACATTATACAATTTTGGATTTATTAGATGATGAAACAACTTGCTGCAGTGGGCAAAACTTGAGAATGCAAGCATAGAACCTGGGTAGCATGAAACTCACCTAAGTCCCCCACACAAAAAAAAACTCACCTAAGTCTGGCGTCAATTAGGCTTTCGATAAGCTTTCAATAAAGCCAGGTGGAATGCCTTTGATCTAAAGTCTGGCATCAATGCAGCGATTTTCTTGGTAGAGGATATGGTCACGTTGTGCAACCTTGGCGACTTGGCGGTGTGGCACCACTAGTGTCATGGGTGGCGGAGAAGGTGGTGTGGGTGGCAGACCGCACGCATCAATAGATCGATGCAAGAGTGCATGGGATAGGTGGGGCACTGACAGAAGAGGATGCGCCGAATGGTGAGGGGAGGAGACAGGGGTGGGGAATGCGCACATGCCCAAGTGAGCAAAAAGAATTGGACAGTCAACCATGGTTACCTCGTTAGAAATATGTTTGCATCTGTGAGGTTCAAATCATCGTATTAAAACTCGCATCACTAATGAGGTTATCGAATTCACACATCTGTATTGTGATCTCATCAGAGATGGGTATCGACAATCATGCCTCTAACGAGTTTGTCGTCTTGGATCACACATCTGTAATGGGGATCACATCAAAGATGCCTCTTGTTGAAACGTTTCTGTGATGGGAGTCCCCTCTCATCAGGGACGTGGATAGATGAGACGGCTCTCTCTGATCAGTGCTATTCACGGGCATGTCTACATGAGTAGCATTACCAAAGATGCTTTTGGTTTACCCACATCTCTAATTTGACATCAGCGACGTGTTTTGTTCTAGTGTCTCTATTGTAGGCATCTTTTTGGGGCTATTTTGGCATAGTGATGATTGCATATATCATTGTTTATTTATTATATATTCCATCAGGATTATATTTTTCATGATAGCCATACATGGAATTTCTTGGTCATCCGTTTGATGATGATGTAGCTAATAAGCTAAACCAATCGAGAACAACCAAGAAAGGTAGGATTTATTAACCAGGATAAATAAACTTAGGCTTTGTTTATTTGGTAAATCATCTAGAGAAGGCATGCACTATATCAACCAACTGTCGGAGTTTGGGCAACAATATCGACAAAGATGCGGACGCGATCAAGGCGGAAGTCCTGGATCACAATCGAGCCAACAGGCAGAATTTCAATGTGGGCGTTGGGCATGTCTTTAAGAATAATCTCTGTCGCCTCATTGATGGACATGCCCACCACCTCGGGCCATGATGTCTTGTTCTTGCCACCAGTAGCACCCATGACAATGGAACACATCTTCGATGATGGATTATAGTTTTAGTAAATCTGCATCCACAAATATATGGACATATAGAAGGAGGGGAATCGGTTTAGCAAGAGAAGTAGACATCATCATTGATCAGGAATGTATACAAACTACTTGACCTCACCAAAGTGAACTTACTTCTTGTCAATGAAAATGGCGGCTATGTGTTGCTTTGTTGTGACTGTGTGAGACTAGTGGAGTAGTAGTGTATATTTATAGACCCATCCAAGCGGCTAGAGGAGAGGGCAATGATAACATCAACAAGGTTTTCATTAACTTTCTGCTTTGGCCTTTCATATATGCCAAATGCCATATGAAGATAAGGATGTACAAAAGGACCAGTCAGCCCCGTAACAGCTAGCTTTGTTTGCTAGTTAGCAAATCTTGATAAGGATCCTATTGTCATCTGGTTGCCACAAGGTTTCCATGTCACCATTTGTCATTAGTTAGCTATAGCTTTATTCCCATGTGAGCACAAAGGCAGAAGAACCATATATGGATGATTATGGCACAGATATACCAACCTCTCTCTCTCATCCTCCGAGAAGGAACCTGCTGGAATTTCACTGTCTTTAATACCTCACGCATACATAGGGTGATACAATATTACAAACATATCATCACAAGTGTGATGTATGTGCTTATCTATCTAGCTTGGATATGCACACACATCATTTTGTCCCACCCTTTAACTAGGGATGAAAACAGGGACAAATATTTCACGATATCCGTCCGTCCCAAATGGTAACAATGAAAATGGCTCCTTCTTTAGTGAGATTATATGAGCAAATGCCTGAACCAAAATACGTCATTGCTATGGGAGCTTGTAGTATTATAGGGGAATGTTCAGTATAGATTCCTATAGTACTGTTCGAGGAGTCGATAAGTGAAAGTTTCCAGTCCAGTTTTCCTTAAGTCGTCTATTGAGATCCGCAGTCAGAAGATTGATACACTGTCCTTTGTAGAACCAGAGCTGGTTGATCTTTAGAAATAAAGTAATCTTTCCATGAGATCTGAATCTAAGTTCTTACTTGTGTTTAGATTTGGTTTTTCCTCCTTCGGTTCCCCTGGATTTTGTGTTCCTATGGTTTTCGAGATGGTTTGAAGGCTTGGATACGTGCAAGGACCCTAGATGAACATATCGGCCAAGAGAATTGGACAGATTCATCATCGTGAGCACAAAAATCTACCCTTGAGAGGAAGTCTGAGCAAATCCACTTTTAATGGTTGGTTTTTAGATCTTGTTTGATTATGTGGTCTCCGGGTCATGATCTTCTGTGGAAAGCTTCTAGATACCTAAGGGAACCCCTATGCAAAGTTTAGGATTTTTCTTAGACCATTTGGATAGAATTTGGATTCTTTGGCAAAATTTTTGTTGTGTTGTGCGTCGATACCGTAGGGTCCAGTATTGCTTCCCATGCTCAATTTTGTTGGGCGAAAATCTCATACCGGAGGGTCCGGTATTGGACCCCGAGGAAGTCCAGTTTTCTCAGTGTTTTGTGAGTTTTTCTCTATTTCTTCTCCTTCTTGCTTCTAGTTTTTTCCACTATGTTTCTGGGATACTCTTGAGTACATCTAGCCACTAGTTGGCGTATGTGTACTCCTCGAAGTGTTTTTTGGTCTCGGTGAGTGCTTTGGGGTCGAAATGGGATAGCAGCCTAAATCGGAAGAAAATTGGATTAGGCTCCTATTCAACCCCCCTTCTGGTCGCTCCTATTTGGTCATGTTGTATTTTTTGCCCATTCTCTCATAAAATGTTAGATATATTTGATTTTATTTTGCTATTTCCATGGCATTGAGTCATTTGGTTTCTCATTGACACACATTAGCAACCAAAACATATAAACCATCTCTTATTAGACAAACTTATTCAAATTTAAAAAGAGGTTACTGTGTGTGAAGATTGATCTTAGTAGTGTCTTGGTGATGGCAATGCAAGTGACACTAGTATTAATGGTGCAGATAAAGTTAATTTGGATGAAGATTCAGCATCATACACCCTGGAAAGATATTGATCCATCATGTATCCTATGTGTATCCGCATGAGCCAACTTCATGTGAATATGAATGTGAAACGAACATACACATGTTTCTAAGCTAGCTAGTCAGCAAATTCCTACACCAGAAAGGACACCACATCCATTTACTTTGTTTGTAGATGGTGATGATTCCTCAAAATAAAGAAAAATAAGTTAATTGTGCAAGAAGTATATGCATGGAAGCTATCATGGGCACACAGTAGCAACAAAAGGAGAGCATGACAAGGCTATCAACAACTTTGCTCGATCACACTGCACATCAATCACGAAAATAGCGTGACGAGATAGGCATGCCTTTAGGACTATAACGCATGCACCTAAAAGAGTGATGCTTATCTCAAACAGAAATGTAAATGGAGATTACACATAGGTGCATATTAACTAGATTACATTGAGCTCTGTTACCAAATGGAACATTACACACACACCAATAGTTCATGAAAAGCATAAGGCTAGTGTGCCTAAGCTCACCATATAATAAAGAGCAACAATTCACTACTGCTTTGACAGATAAAATTGGGTGCTATGGTGCCTACCTAGGGGTGCAGACAGTCTCACTTTAAAACAAAATTAGATCCATCAAGTTAACATATTTTTATTTCCAATTTTCAAGGTTGGTTTTGAAATCAAAGTTGAATAGACGTGGGTTGTAGAGTTGCATTTGCATGTGTTGGGCATTTTCTTTGTTATGATAAGTTAGGGACATGGGTCACCATTATTACAAAAATAAATATATAACATGGACATGGACATGAACATAGTATATGCATGCATCTAAATCATTGTTTATTTATTATTCCATCAAGATTATTCAGGATAGCCATACGGCTATATATCTAGATCTTCCTTTTTCTAATCTTCAAGGACAACCAAGAAAGACTAGATTTATTAACTAGGAAATAAAAGGTGGCCTCTTTATTTGGTAGATCCAGCAAGTAGAGGTTGAAGTGTATCAGCCAACCATTGGGGTCTGAGCAACGGTGTCGACGAAGATGCGGACGCGGTTGGGGCGGAAGTCATGAGTCATAGGCGAGTTAAGAGCCAGCACTTCAATTTCAGCGTGAGGCATGTCTTTCAGAATGCTTGGGACTGCCTGTGTGATGGACAAGCCTACAAACTAGGGCCAACATGTTTTCTTCTGAGTTTCCTCAAAAAACATGTTTTCTTCTGGTCGTTGCTCATATCCATGATGGAGCCCACCGTACCTACGATGGATTACTTAGTCAATCCGCATGCAGAGATAAATATGAATAGAATCCAGAACAATATAGAAACCATTAAGCTGGAGATCAAGTGATCAAGCATGGACACTAGCTCATGCTCACCTATGGAATCTTACTTGTCTATGGAACTAGTGTACTATGAGTTGGGTACATATGATGCTGGTGCAGTAGTACGGTGTATTTATCAACCCAAAAAAGTAGAGGAGAGTGTGTCCAGTGTTCGTTAACTTGCAGTAGTCGTCTTTCACATACGACAATTGCCCTGTCAAGATAACGATGCACACAAAAAATGAATCAGCTCTGGCTGTCCTTACCACCATTGTCGTCATCAGATTTTTAAGAGCTTTACATATGACAACATATATAGCTCAAAAGTTTTGTTAACGACATATGCGCATAAGGCATAGAAAACCCATGGATAATCATGACACGCACACATAGCAACATATCATTTATCTCACATGCTACCTTCCATAGCTCGCACACGGTGTAACACTACAAACAAGCCATCCCATATAGGACGATGTTTGTCTTCAATAAAACGGCAAAGCACATGTACGCACACATCATTGTGACCTGGATTGCACACACCTTAATCTATACCTAATATTAAAGAGCCAAAAATTTTGCCATCTCTAAATTTTCATCCAACCCAATCATATAGATATAGGGAAGAAAAAAGTTGTCAGAATTCTACTTCAAAACCAATTTTGAATCAAAATACAACATGAATGGTACAGAGCCCATATAGGACTACGGTCCTTGTTCAAATAGGACTAGGTACAGCGATTTTGCCACTATATAATTGAAAATAGTACTGCCCTAGAGTGCATAAACCACCGGAGTCAAAAAAAGCAAGCATTTAAACATCAAGATATAGCATGCTTCTAATTTCTATAGTTTCTTCCATTCCGCTTGTTTTACTTCCCAAATTGCACTCATCCCTTTCGTGTCTCTTGTGTGATGGACTCGACCTATACTCATACGAGTGAGGAAACTTCTCCCATGCAACATCCATTAAAACTTAAGCAACTCTTCTTTAAACCACCTCTAAGCCCCAATACACTTCTATACCTGCAAGGAACCCAGGTTTGTGCTAAAGGAAGCTTGTGCTCTTCACACACTACAGTCAGGATCTCAAGTATTTCAACCGGAGCAGCTTGACGGCCTTCAATACATATCTAAAAAAACAAGATGGCAAACAAAAATATAAGCCACCCAGAACATCGACAGAAATAATCTTCTTGTCCAAACCATAATGTAATGAGTGAAGGCTCACCTAGACATTTGGATGGTCCAATGAGTTTGATTCCAATATGTATTGGGTCATGTCATATGTATTTCGTCAGTGATCCGGTTCATGACCGTACTCATACGAGTTAGAACAACTCACATCTAGCGATGATACGGAGTTCGATTCCTATATGTATTGGGTTTTGTTGCAACGGACGTGCGCGTTTGCTAGTAGAATAAAAGCATGGCACACATACCCGACAGTAAAGGAAAGTTGATATTATTGACTTTAGGGTAACTCCAAATGAAGGTTACTATAGTGTTTGTAATCCAATCACTACTATAGAACCGCCTAGTACTACCAGTTGTTCCAAACCGACCATCACAATCAGTAATTGGTCCCGAGAATGACAGTCATAGCTCTCATTGTTGAGTTCTAAACTAGTAGTGTCAGATGCTGCCACTATAAGTTGAAGCTTCAACATGCAGTGAGAG